CTGGGCTTTCACGGGAAGGCAGAAGCTGCCCAGGGTCTGTGGAGCCCAAGTGACACTGGTGGCATCACTGCCAGGCTGCCCCGGTGCCCACGCCGCAGTGCCAGGGACCCCGCGGCACAGCCCCGCACCGGCTTGGCGAGGCTGGGGGGGGGGTTTTGATGGCTTGAGCTGCCAAGGATGAGGAGCCCCCAAAGCTGGGTTGGGGGGTGAGAGGACATCCCTGATGCAGGAGAAATGGGCATGGCGATGGGGCCGAAGGAGAGATCACGAGAGCCCTGGGGAGAAGGAAATTGGGGGTGTGGCAGCGTGGGTGGGGAGCGCTCGCATCCGCCTCTGAGCCCAGGGAGGTGCCTGGTCCAGTCCAACCTCCTCAGCCAGGGAGATGCAAGGACCTGTTGATGGGTAACGGGGTGTTCCTGATGAGATGGAGGGGGTAGGGATGGGAAGGAGGATTCCTGCAGGGTGGGAAGGAGCTGGGGAAGGAGGCCAGGCCAGGCTGTGCTGGTGGGTAAGGGGGTCCCCAGACTGGGGACTAATTACCTTCCATGGCTTTAATTACCAAAGCCAGAAGTTTTGCTCTGAGGAACAAAACTTTTCCTCCTAACTTCTGTTAGGAGGAAATAAGGCTGGTGCCAGAGAGTGAGGGGTGCCCCTGGTTCAGCTGGGGAGTGTGTGGGGGTGGGCTGTGCAGGGCAGCCAGACGGATGGACGCAGAGGTGGGGGGTGCCAAGGGTTCCCCCAGCACCTCTCACCCCCCTGCAGCCACCATGGGCTGCTGCTGCAGCTCTGACTACGACGAGGACTGGATCGAGAGCATCGACATCTGTGAGCACTGCAACTACCCCATCGACCCCGACAGCAAGCGCCAGGTGAGGAGGGGGCGAGCAGACACCCCGTACCCCACCCCGGCGGCCAAAAAAAAAACCGGGTGGCCAAAAAAGCCCCTGGAGGTGGCCACGGCTCGGCCAAACCCCAGGAAGGTGAAGGCTCATGGGGCTCCTCCTCCCCTGGCAGAGGCTGATCCGCAACGGCTCCGAGGTGCAAGACCCTTTGGTGTCCTACGCGGCCACGTCCCCCCCGTGCTCCCCGCTGCAAGGTACGGCCTGGCCATGGCAGGGGGTGGCTGTGGGGACCCCCCAGTTGGCCACCGCCACCATGTCCCTTCGCTTGTCCTCTCAGATAAGCTGGTGGTGGCCCTGTACAACTATGAGCCCAAGCACGACGGGGACCTGGGGCTGCGGAAGGGCGAGAAGCTCCGTGTCCTGGAAGAGTGAGCGAGCACCCAGGGCGTCCCAGCACCCCAGCACCCCACCAGCACGACCCCCTGGCACCCCTGGTGCTGCCAGAGGGGCCTGTGTGGGGTCCTGGCAGCACGGGGGGGGGTCTCACCTGGCTGTGTCCTTGCAGGAGCGGGGAGTGGTGGAAGGCACAATCGCTCACCACCGGCCAGGAGGGTTTGATTCCCTACAACTTCGTGGCCCTGGTGAACAGCCTGGAGCCTGAGCCGTGAGTAGGAGCTGTGCCCTGGCAGGAGCAGTGCTGGGAGGGGAGGGGAAGGTGCCAGGAGCATCCCAGAGAAGCGCTGGTGGGTGGAGGAGGCCTGAGCTCCCCAGGCCTGATCCTGCTCCGTGTCCCCAGGTGGTTCTTCAAAAACCTGAGCCGCAAGGATGCGGAGAGGCAGCTCCTGGCATCGGGCAACACTCACGGCTCCTTCCTCATCCGGGAGAGCGAGACCTCCAAAGGTACAGCCCCCGGGGCCCCCTGGCATCTCCTGCCCCCTGGGAAGGACTCCGGGCGGCCCACACGGTCTCCTGTCCCCCCCCAGGCTCCTACTCGCTGTCAGTGAGGGACTTCGACCAGAACCAGGGGGAGATGGTGAAGCACTACAAGATCCGCAACATGGACAACGGGGGGTACTACATCTCCCCCCGGGTCACCTTCAGCAGCTTGCACGAGCTGGTGGAGCATTACACACGT